GCACCAACGTCAACTTCTAAAAAAGCTGACATGCAGGATTGGTTAAGGAATCATAATATTGCTTACGAAGAGGATATGCTCAAAACGCAATTATACAGTTTAGTGCTATTGCATAAGTCACGATTTAAGAGGTATGCAATTGAAGAAATGATAAATGAACATGGTTTTAGTTGTTTGCGTTTGCCACCGTATCATCCCGATCTTAATCCGATCGAATTAGTGTGGGCATCATTGAAACAATATGTAGCTAGTAACAACACTACATTTAAGAGGCAAGACGTACAACTGTTGTGTGAAGACTTTTTTGATACGTTTTCTAAAGAGGAGTGGCAATCTCGTTGTAATAATGCTAAAATGTGGGAATCTAAATTTTATGACAGAGAAGTTACTTTGGATGAGGCAACTGATAGATTTATAATTAACTTAAACAGTGACAGTGAGACTGATTTTGAATCTGATATGGAAACTGAAGAAAGTTTTTCGGAAGACCATTAAAATTATATCTGTACCTAAGATCAAAAAAGTATTATCTATTTTTACAACGAAGATGCACAAGAATCAAATTTTATTTTTTTATTATTAGATAGCTATTTTTGTTTCTGAGTTGTGTTCATTTACAGGCTCAATTTTTTTCCGTTTCTCCTTTTTGATTTTATATGGGGTTTCAAGTTGTTTTTGACTTATTTCGACGTAAATCACAACAACACACTTTTTTAATAAAGCAAACAAGTGTTAAGAGGTATATGTACGTGTAAACTACAATTACAAAAAATTGATATGAAACCCATGAAACCACCAACAAAAATGTAAAGCTAGCTTCCGTACTAGAACATGGTGTCATTCGTCGAGATAATTTATCGTTTTGTTTAATAGATCAAGAAATGTAAATATTCCCCTGTTATTTTTTATAAAATTATAAGAGAAATAAATTTTTTTCTAAATAGTATAGTTTATTATTTTGTAGAGAAACAAAATTTCGAAAATTTTAGTAATGTTTCAGAAACAACCGTTATTAATAATAGGTACCATTTTCCTTAATAAGGTAGAAATAAAATATAAACTATTTCCACAATTTACAAAGGCCTACAAAAAAATTATAGGTATTTTCCGCTATCCTATAAAATTTATATTTTCTGACTCAATTTCAAAAGGTTGAAGGAATTCCAAAACACTTTTTATGGCATAATAATTATTTTCAATTCTACATACTATCTTTAGCTGCTTTTAAAAACGTTCTAAGAAAGTCCAATCAGACCAATTTAATCCCTAAACTATTCCACACTTTTAAAATTTAATTACCTAAAAATATTAAAAACTATTTAAAATAACTTGTTTAGCAGACTGTACAATAGCTATCTTAGTCACACGTAGCGCGTTCTCTGTCTGGGCGTCGAACACCTCTAGAAATTTGATGAACTGTAATTTAAAACGGCAATGACGTCAAAGCAACCATTTTATGAATCTACCTGCATTGAAAAACACTCAGAATTGAAATAATAAGTAGATATAATCGAGCAAAGTAGAATAATAGTTTTGGCTCAGAAATTTTAACCCTTTGCGTGTTGCATCACATCATATTATATCATTTCATCTCTCATTACAATTGCGTTTATTAAAACGTACTAAAGCAGATTTGATAAAGCGGCAATCGCGGCACCATGTGCAGCATGCGGTCATAAATTCTCGAACGAATATGAAATACATTTTCCAATTATGAACGCCCGAGATTAAACGAATCTGGAGTACAAGTGGAAAACGGTCCGAATTTATTACGGGGATACAACTAACGATGTGTAAAACAATGCAAAGGAAAATTACATAAGGATTAGCGTCGACGGAGCCAAAAAGGATAAGCGCGGTCACTGTATACGGCTAATTTTGTTGCAGATGCTTTCCTTTCGTCTAAACTTTTCTAATCAAATTTACGGAAGCTGTTTATACGGCGAGACAAGACTTGTGTTCCGATGCCAACATCTGTTCGCTTCTTTTACTTACTATTATTTTTTTGTAAACTTTAATAAACGAACACTACACTACAATGGCGCACAATTAGTCTGACGTCACTCAGTATTATTAATGTGACGGAAAAACTTAAAATATTAGGTAACCGAAAGTTCTGTTACAATGGCCAAAAATCTCAGATAAACAAATGAAATCTTTAATTGTTTATTTATTTATTATTATACATTACTCAACAGGTCAAGACCCAATTACAGAGTAAGAGTACAAGAATATAAAAATAAAATTAATTTAGAAATAATATACCTACTAATTGATTGAACAGCAGGTGAGAAAAAAAAGCTAAGAAAATTATTTTTCTAGCATTTCATGAATATATGCAAAACTAAAGATTTCAGACAACATTATTATAGAAATATTAATATTATGAATTGAACTATAAAACAAATCAAGCTGGCAACTTACTGATTCATAATTATTATTACACATGATGTGTATAGGAGATTTTAAGAGAACATTTTTTGTTCTGGATTAATTTGTTTAAGTAACCTGGAAAAAATTCAACATTTTTGATCGATGAGTCAAGCCATGTTTCACTTTGAGACAAATGATTATAACCTGACTAGTTTTTGAAAGTCAACCTCTAGTGTTCTGATGAAATATGGAGAAATATGGAGAAATATGGAGAAATATGGAGAAATATGGAGAAATATGGAGAAATATGGAGAAATATGGAGAAATATGGAGAAATATGGAGAAATATGGAGAAATATGGAGAAATATGGAGAAATATGGAGAAATATGGAGAAATATGGAGAAATATGGAGAAATATGGAGAAATATGGAGAAATATGGAGAAATATGGAGAAATATGGAGAAATATGGAGAAATATGGAGAAATATGGAGAAATATGGAGAAATATGGAGAAATATGGAGAAATATGGAGAAATATAGAGAAATATGGAGAAATATGGAGAAATATGGGGAAATATGGAGACATATGGAGAAATATGGAGAAATATGGAGAAATATGGAGAAATATGGAGAAATATGGAGAAATATGGAGAAATATGGAGAAATATGAAGAAATATGGAGAAATATGGAGAAATATGGAGAAATATGGAGAAATATGGAGAAATATGGAGAAATATGGAGAAATATGGAGAAATATGGAGAAATATGGAGAAATATGGAGAAATATGGAGAAATATGGAGAAATATGGAGAAATATGGAGAAATATGGAGAAATATGGAGAAATATGGAGAAATATGGAGAAATATGGAGAAATATGGAGAAATATGGAGAAATATGGAGAAATATGGAGAAATATGGAGAAATATGGAGAAATATGGAGAAATATGGAGAAATATGGAGAAATATGGAGAAATATGGAGAAATATGGAGAAATATGGAGAAATATGGAGAAATATGGAGAAATATGGAGAAATATGAAGAAATATGGAGAAATATAGAGAAGTAACTGTCTGGATTTGTTTGAAGCAGGAGTAGTATTTTCGAATGTCGAATACCTCGATTCGCATATGAGATTAGTGAAATGTCGAATAGCAACTAGGTGATTTAAAAAAAAGTGTATTCTCAAAAATAGAATACGAAAAATGTCAGGTGAATTCAACACGAGTGGTCTAAAGTGGTCGAATTTAAATTCATATGCGATGAAATTAACATTTTGTGACTGTTGAAAATAAAAACCCAGTAAACCATAAATAGTCGGCATTTGCTCGGCCTGACACCGTCATGTACGGGAAGCCGAGTACTCGGATTGCAATTATTGGAGTTGCTTCTGAGCCGGGAGGACCGTACCCAGGGCCCCCGCAATAGCGCGTGCATCGCACGCGGGCGCCCTTCTAAAGGGGAGCCAAACCAGAGGTCTGTATACAACTCGAATTTTTAATTTTTCTAACGATTCCAATGAACAAGGCACTAAAGAAATCAAAAATGTTTTTATCTCAATTCATGATAATATAATCAATAATGTTATCGAAATTTATGTTCGTTGATATAATGACCTATTCCTATTGTGACAGAAAACATCTATTTTTAAAATAAAATAGCTATTCAATTAGCATTAATTACTACATATTATATAATAAAATCAATAGGTTAGTTAATTCTGTGTGCAACATGCAATATCATGAATGCCCTTATAAAGTATAAACTTGTCGATTTTTCCTGTCCAGGCTCGAATACTGTACGAACGACTAGTAAGTTTCAAATTAGATATTGTCGATTTTTCCTGTTCAGACTTGAATACTCTACGAACTACGTTTTTCCTGTTCAGGCTCGAATATTGTACGACGAGTAAGTTTCATATTAGGTCTTGTCGATTTTTCCTGTCCAGACTTGAAGACTTTTCTACGAACCACGAGACCACGAGTATAAATAAAACTGCAGGAAACGTCGTAATCCCAATAGTTAATATTTTCTTCGGCTACGTGAAGGTCAAAAACCAAGACGCAAAGTTATAGTTATAAATATTCGACGGAGTGCTTTACATTTTGTGTTAATTGTGATGTAATTAAATTTTATGAAATGGTAAGTACCTACCCTCATATTAGGTCTTATCCTTTGCATCGAAAGTATAGCACTGAGCTACGTCACTTCTGAAAATACCGTTCCATCCATACAATTTGTATAAATTTTTCTGTTGGTTTCTTTTTAGAATTATGTATCAAGTTTATTATGTATGTCTTAACTCTTATTTATCTTTAATAAAGTATATTCGCTTCAGACGTATCTACTTAATGTATTTTTACTGATTGTTAAAAACAAGAAAAGCATACAAAAATAAAATAAGCAAAATTCCTTTAGGATAACCTATTCTCAGACAATTTACTTTCATAATACTGGCTGTAGGCTTTAGTGGATCAGATAAGTCTGTTCTAAACAAATTTTTCTCATTTACTCAAAACTTTTTTTAGGACAGTACAATTTCAACAATCACAGATTTATATACATATAACTGTGGTAGTAAGCTAATCATTGTTTATAGAAATAATAACTCCAGGACTTTGTATACTTTATTTTAATACTATTTTATATTGTTTATTATACGAGTACTATTATTTAAAAATATATAAATTGACTCATTAATGCGAGGGGATGACTATAATTTCAAGTCAAGAATATTACTAATTGTGATTTATCAGCTAAAACCGAAGTTTTCAGTAGTTTGGGTATTAAAAATTACATTTTTGATTTACAAAAATTAAAAAAAATCATTAGCGGCAATGGTTTTTGCGATCCAGTCGGCGTAATGGGACAGATTGGTGTACACATTTGGAGCTCCTTTGGTAAAGCATGGATAAACATACCACGTGGCGATACCGATGACAGTTCCATCTTGAGACAAAGGACTACCAAAGTCAGTATAGCAGAGGTTTGAATTTTCGCCTAAGGTGCACATATTGGCTTCGTTATTAAACAGGTCTGAATAAAATGAATAGAATACATCTACCCGCTTTTTGCAATCTAAAACGTAATGTTTGTTTTCATTTTTAAGGTCTTAAAATGTAAAAATTGACTAAAATTAAATAAAATATATATTGTTTTAAAATGTTTTAAGATTTTTACTAAAATTTACTAAAATTTACTAAAATTTACTAAAATTTACTAAAATTTACTAAAATTTGCTAAAATTTACTAAAATTTACTAAAATTTACTAAAATTTACTAAAATTTACTAAAATTTACTAAAATTTAATAAAATTTACTAAAATTTACTAAAATTTACTAAAATTTACTAAAATTTACTAAAATTTACTAAAATTTACTAAAATTTACTAAAATTTACTAAAATTTACTAAAATTTACTAAAATTTACTAAAATTTACTAAAATTTACTAAAATTTACTAAAATTTACTAAAATTTACTAAAATTTACTAAAATTTACTAAAATTTACTAAAATTTACTAAAATTTACTAAAATTTACTAAAATTTACTAAAATTTACTAAAATTTACTAAAATTTACTAAAATTTACTAAAATTTACTAAAATTTACTAAAATTTACTAAAATTTACTAAAATTTACTAAAATTTACTAAAATTTACTAAAATTTACTAAAATTTACTAAAATTTACTAAAATTTACTAAAATTTACTAAAATTTACTAAAATTTACTAAAATTTACTAAAATTTACTAAAATTTACTAAAATTTACTAAAATTTACTAAAATTTACTAATATTTACTAATATTTTCTAATATTTACTAATATTTACTAAAATTTACTAAAAGTTACTAAAATTTACTAAAATTTACTAAAATTTACTAAAATTTACTAAAATTTACTAAAATTTACTAAAATTTACTAAAATTTACCAAAATTTACTAAAATTTACTAAAATTTACTAAAATTTACTAAAATTTACCAAAATTTACTAACATTTACTAACATTTACTAAAATTTACTAAAATTTACTAAAATTTACTAAAATTTACTAAAATTTACTAAAATTTACTAAAATTTACTAAAATTTACTAAAATTTACTAAAATTTACTAAAATTTACTAAAATTTACTAAAATTTACTAAAATTTACTAAAATTTACTAAAATTTACTAAAATTTACTAAAATTTACTAAAATTTACTAAAATTTACTAAAATTTACTAAAATTTACTAAAATTTACTAAAATTTACTAAAATTTACTAAAATTTACTAAAATTTACGAAAATTTACTAAAATTTACTAAAATTTACTAAAATTTACTAAAATTTACTAAAATTTACTAAAATTTACTAAAATTTACTAAAATTTACTAAAATTTACTAAAATTTACTAAAATTTACTAAAATTTACTAAAATTTACTAAAATTTACTAAAATTTACTAAAATTTACTAAAATTTACTAAAATTTACTAAAATTTACTAAAATTTACTAAAATTTACTAAAATTTACTAAAATTTACTAAAATTTACTAAAATTTACTAAAATTTACTAAAATTTACTAAAATTTACTAAAATTTACTAAAATTTACTAAAATTTACTAAAATTTACTAAAATTTACTAAAATTTACTAAAATTTACTAAAATTTACTAAAATTTACTAAAATTTACTAAAATTTACTAAAATTTACTAAAATTTACTAAAATTTACTAAAATTTACTAAAATTTACTAAAATTTACTAAAATTTACTAAAATTTACTAAAATTTACTAAAATTTACTAAAATTTACTAAAATTTACTAAAATTTACTAAAATTTACTAAAATTTACTAAAATTTACTAAAATTTACTAAAATTTACTAAAATTTACTAAAATTTACTAAAATTTACTAAAATTTACTAAAATTTACTAAAATTTACTAAAATTTACTAAAATTTACTAAAATTTACTAAAATTTACTAAAATTTACTAAAATTTACTAAAATTTACTAAAATTTACTAAAATTTACTAAAATTTACTAAAATTTACTAAAATTTACTAAAATTTACTAAAATTTACTAAAATTTACTAAAATTTACTAAAATTTACTAAAATTTACTAAAATTTACTAAAATTTTTAAAATTTACTAAAATTTACTAAAATTTACTAAAATTTACTAAAATTTACTAAAATTTACTAAAATTTACTAAAATTTACTAAAATTTACTAAAATTTACTAAAATTTACTAAAATTTACTAAAATTTACTAAAATTTACTAAAATTTACTAAAATTTACTAAAATTTACTAAAATTTACTAAAATTTACTAAAATTTACTAAAATTTACTAAAATTTACTAAAATTTACTAAAATTTATTATCAAGATGCCTTGATATGAGGTACTAGGTTTTTTTACTAAGTCTGTCTTGATCTTAGGGGCTCCTTAAGGGTTCCTTAAGGGTTCCTTTAAGGCCTAAAAAATACATTTTACACCTAAGGAGGCCTTGAAAGATAGGATTCCTCAAGACTGTAACAGTCCTACTTCAATACATTTGAGAACCAAATTTTATTCAAAAATAATAAATATAAAAATATCCCTATAATTCACTAACTGAATTTGTTCAAACTGGCACTTACCTGCATTAGAAATGAGGTCTAGATCAGCGGCTGCTTTAAGTGTGTTGACAGAATGGTTTCTAGTGTAACTGTAACCAGTTACAACAGTTTTACCTGTGAATTCTTGGCCTTGTGTTGGCAATTTTGCTGCTTGAACTTTGTCGTTGAAGGTTAGTGATGTAGCTAACTTAATTAGAGCAAGATCATTTGGACCGAATCTGAAAGAAAAGTTGGTGTTTGTAACAAACATTTTTTTTGGGCAACTTTTGGAGAAACACTGCAGAACATTATCTTTTCAACAATTTTACAAATATAAGTAATGATGCCATAGTAGTGTCATGGTATCAAAATATGTACATAAACAATATGTTGACCAGTTCACCCAGCAGAATAAAGATCAGACACTTAATTATATTTGGACATGAGACGATTAAAGAGAGCAATTGGTTTACACCCTTTCGATGGCAAACATTGCATCTATATTGCAATTTGCTTTTAATTTTATTTCTCTAATCAATACTATTGTGTCTGTTAACAGGAGTGAGGAAAACAAACTTAACGTACCCAATATAATCTAAAATTTTCAACGACATGCGTTCATGTAAACGAATAAATATACGGGATATATTTAAAGTTAATAAGTGAAATTGATAGATTTGATAGATGACATATTTAACAATGAACGTCTTTTGGAATTTATTGTTTCCAATAAAGTAGAAGTTGCAAACGTTGGAAATGAACCAACCTTCGTAACATTTGCGCGAAGGGAGGTAATTAATATAACTCTAGGTACACAACGGGAATGTTCATTGGTGGGGAAGTGGCACGTCTCACAAGAAGCGTCACTTTCCGACCATAGACATATCATGTTTAAGCTGAGTTCAAAAACCTCGGGTGAGAAGACATATCGTAATCCTAGGACCTGTAACTGGGGAGCTTTTAAGGAAGAACTCACACAGGGACTAGAGGACTGTCCTCCAATACCAAATAATTCAGTGGAAGTTGAGTTTATGTCAGAGTTTGAAAAAACTGCCCTTTAAAAACTAGGAAACAGGATTGAGACGCTGTATGGTGGAATCGAGATCTTTCCAAAAAAGGGCAGAAGTTAGTAAACTCTTTAACCTGTCCAAAAGGTCGGGGAACTTGGAAGCCTATAAGGCGTACCGGAGAGAATATGGCTATGCCATTAGGAAAGCCAAAGAAAATTCCTAGAAGAAATTATGTGACGGCATTGAAAGCCTTCCAGAATGTGCCAGACTCAGGAAAACTCTACAGAGAGTTAAGCAAGGATGCAAGGGATCTCTGAAAATTCAACAAAGGGAACTCACAAAAACAGAGGAGGAGACTTTAGATTTACTCCTAAAGTCACACTTTCCTGGATGTGAGATTATTCTTGACCAAGAAAACAGGAGTACCAAGGCACTAATTTCCTGGGACTCAAAAACAAACTGGTCTCTTGCAAACTCAATAGTAAACAGAACAAAACTTGTGTGGGCGATAAATTCCTATCAACCATACAAAACAGCTGGATCTGATGGTATAATCCCGGCACTTACACAAAAAGGCCAGGAAGTACTGGAGGGACCACTATGTAAACTATTCCGAGCTAGCATAGCCCTCGGATATGTTCTACAAAGCTGGAGGTGTGCAAGAGTGGTCTTCATTTCCAAATCCGGGAAAGCGTCTTACGAGGAGACCAAATCTTTCAGATCAATCAGCCTAACGTCATTTCTCCTAAAAAATTGATCGTTAGATATACAGGGTGAGTCGGGAGGAGCGCACCAAACTCTAGGAGTATATTATACACGTGAAAATAATGTAGAAAAACTCATATGTTCTTATTCGATTTTCATTTGTTTTCAAGTTATGGCGTAATTAAAAATGTTCATCTAGCTTTCCACTTCTGAATTTTAACATTATCAAAGTATGCCATATGTTCAAGGCTCAAAGGCATTTGATAATTCTGACGTTTTGATGAACTGTCAGTGTACAGTGAACAGTAACTGAACGTTTAATTTCGAATTTATGTTTATGTTTAGAAGTCAATGGCGATATTTTTGAACATTTATTAAAAGAACGCTATGATTAAGAGAATTTTTATGTGTTAATTTGTTAATATGCTATAACTTGAAAACAAATGAAAATCGGATAAGAACATATGAGTTTTTTTACATTATTTTCACGTGTATAATATACTCCTAGAGTTTGGTGCGCTCCTCCCGACTCACCCTGTATATGGGACGTTGTTCTACGGGATACACCGATACATCGATACCAGTTTGCTTACCAATATGGAAAGTCTTGCGATGCAGCCATACATAGGCTAGCTCAACAGGCTGAAAAAGCATTGGAAAGCAAAGAAATAGCACTAGGAGTGTTCCTAGATATAAACGGAGCCTTTGACTTGGCTTCATACAATTCAATACTGGGATCTATGTACAGGCGTAGAGTAGCCCACTGCATTACGAAGTAAGTTGAGTTTATGCTTAATCATAGAACCATTACCAGTAATCTCTTTAACACAACAAGAGAGGTCTCAGTTATCAAGGGATGCCATCAGGGAGGAGTGTTATCTCCTCTTATGTGGACCTTGGTGGTTGATGACCTCTTATGGGAGTTAGAGAGAGAAAACTTATACACACAAACATTTGCAGACGATATAAGCATCGTAGTAAACGGTTAATTTGGGTCCGTTGTATCCGAAAGGATAGCGGGCACTAAATATCGTCGAAAGATTGTCCACAAACCCGACAAAAACCTCTGTTGTTGCATTCACAAGAAAAAAGAACCTTCAACGAATGAAGGAGCTTTATATGTGGGGACATTATCTAAAAATGAAAAAGAAGTTAAATATCGTAGAATTACTTAGCTTCTGCAGCCATATAGAAAAAACAACAGAAAAAGCTGTAAGAATATTATAGGCCTAGAGACGGATGGTAGGGAACATGTGGGGGCTTAAACCAAGTATGATGCACTGGCTTTACACTATAGTTGTAATACCCGTTATAACTTACTCATCAGTCATATGGTGGGACGACAAGACTAAAAGCATAACAGCTTACAGAAAATTAGACAAGGTGCAAAGATTAGCCTGTCTAATAACAGGGCATTTAGAACTACGCCCACAGCAGTAATAGAGCTACTGCTAGGTCTTCCTTGTGGTGGAAAAGGAGGCTATGGCGGCGGCATATAGGCTGTTTACTAATGAATTTTGATGGGAATTTTCGAGAAAAGGACACCACACAATGATATTAAAGAAATTAAAACAAAATCCGGTACTAAGAATGCCATCTAATAGAACGCCCATTATTCACGACTTCAGGAAACCTTTCGATATTCAAATACTAGAAAGGACCAAAAATAGGGAAAACAAAACGAATTAATCTGGTATTCGCGATTCAAGCTAAGTGATACGCCCTCTGGAGGAAATTAGTAAAAGGTCCCTATAAGTAGGATGACGTTCAGTGTTGCCAGAAGCAGCAAAATTTCGTTACGTCGTCGGATTTTAGTTCTTGAAGAAATGGATAAGACCTTTTATTTAAGAATCAAAATTTGTGTCTAGTAATATGTAATCATACTATTTATTTAAGGATTTTTTTATAAAATCGATTTATTATATTGATTTTTTTTAAAATATCAGTTCATTTATTAATTTTAGTTTTAAAATCAGTCAGAGACAAAATCAGTTCATCATTTGGCAACATTGGCGTTCGTGTTCATTGTTTACATTTTAATTTGTATCAATTACAAATTACAATTAGAGTTTTTTGTTACTTTTTAGCTTTAAATTTATTTATTTCTTATAGTATGTGATAGTATTTAAATTAAAAATGAAATCTGCGAAAAAGCCTCCAGCAAATTGCAATCTGTATGGTGTTATTGTCAAAATCAAAACTGGAGTATTCATTATTTTTCAAGTGCAAGTCATACAATTCTGTTTCTTACGATAAATGGGTATCTACAAATTCACAATTTTGAAATTTTGCAAAACGTTGTTTAGAATCAAACTCCAATATGAGTTGTGACGGTTTTAATACCATTTACATGTATACAAAGTACTACACAATTCACTTCATGATATAAGAATAAGGATAGTAAGATTTTTAAAGAAGTTCATCAATAATAAACGTTTGGTACCTGATATGTCCTTTAAACCACATAATAAAACATGTCCTGGGTTTAGTAAATACATATTTCAGATGTTCTTGTAGCAACCAATAGGTCAATATTTCCAACAAATTAGTTCGTACTACACATGAAAAATTACATTTATAACGAAAGCACGAAAACTAAACTTAAATTAACACTAAATGAAACTCAAAAACACTATTATAATAAGAATATTATCTAAAAACAGTTAAAAAATCACACATACAAAATTCCACAACACGTAAATAAACAAACATCCTACTTATACGTGACAAATGACAGGCGCGCGAAAATTAATTTGAATCGCGAATACAGACGGTTCGAAAATGAAAAACAGCACAGGAGCTGGGATCAACCATGTGAACTCAGGGAGGACAATTAGTTTGAACCTGGGGTCACTGACAACAGTCTTCCAAGTTGAAGTAACAGCAATAAATGCCTGCGCCAAAGTCATGCTAAATGACTTTCTTAGAGATAAGAGGATCTTTATCATGACAGATAGTCAGGCAGCCCTTAAAGCACTGAAAAGGGTAGAAGTACAATCTAAATCAATATTTGATTGCCAACTGTCCCTCCAGGCCTTGGCAGAACATAACAAGATCGCCCTTGAATGGGTGCCAGGACATGAGGGAGTGTTTGGAAATGAGAAAGCAAGGAAGGGAGCGAAAAAAACTCTTATTGGACCAGAACCCACATGTGATATCTCATACCAACATTTTAAATGGGTGTTAAAGGAACAAATAAATAGAGAACACCACAGGCTCTGGTTGGAACTTCCTGGACTTAAACAGTCCAAAAGATTCATAGAGGGGTCATCCACGAGCAGACAACATCAACTGCTAAACCTTAGCAGAAGCGATCTCAAGGCCGTAATAGGGTTCCTTACGGGACACTGCGGCCGTAGAAGACACCTGAATCTCTTAGGGATATCTAATGACTCCCTATGTAGAATATATGAAGAAGAGGACGAAACTGCTATTCACATAATATGCCACTGTCGGAACCTTAAATGCAAACGGGATTGGTACTTCGGGTTACAATATCCGGAACCTGAAGAAATCCCGAAAGCGCCCATCAGACATATTCTTGAATTAATCAAGGAAATCAATCTGATGGGGTAGAAACTGTAAGGGGTACAATAAGCCTAGAGCTTCAATACAAGTGGGCTTTGAACCACGCCCTAATTCAGATAGATACATAGATAGATGAACGTCGATGGCTAACGCTAATAATACGAGGAAATTGGGTCACTGGTGATAATATGGTGTTCAGAGATTCTGGGTACGACAAGATAATAATAAATCTGTCATTCAAACGTCATTTTAAAATCGATGATGAGCTAGAAAGACGTGCGTCAAATGCTTCATAGTCAAATGAAATGATGGAACGTGGAAATTACGTATTTGATGTCGTCTTTGACAAGAACTCTTGAAGGCTTAAAATGTATTGAAATGGAAAATGAATGATCATTCCGTAATATTGGTTCTACATATTTTCCTAATCAATAAAAATATCAAAAACCTTTGAATAAACCTACAAAACATTATTGGTTAGTCATTTTTTTCCTAATTAATCTAGTCAAAATTAGAAAAAATCTTGAATAGCAAGTTACTTAAATATCTAATAAAAAGGAATTAGAAGAACTTACCCTACCTCTGGGAAGTCAGGATGAGTGATTACTGAATCAACTATAACAAAAACTGTGTCGTTTCCGTGTAAGTCTGTAGATCCAACAGCAACCATAAAACGTTCTTCAAGACAACGAGCGGAGGTCAATACCCAGTTTTCATTGATGATTACAGCACCGCAAATGTGTTCGCAGCCGTTCTCCAAACACACTTGGATGGAAGCTACGAATGGATAATCTTCGATTTTAGCATCAACGGCATTTTCAATTTTTAGCTGATGTTTGCCAAATCTGGCATTTGGTGCTCCTAGAAGAATGTTGACAATAAAAGTAATTATTATTATAATTTATTCAGTAAAATATGAAATTCTTTCTAATACAATAATAGCTATAAATCAATGACTTCCTTCACAAATTTTTGTAAATTGGCCCAAAAATAATACTGAACGAATGATAATAAATCTAATTAAATTAAAACGACCAGGTCTGGCGTCAATTTTAACACCTAAAGAAGAAGAAAAAAATATTTTTTTGGGGACACATATTATGTTTTCACTAGTAATACCACTAGAGGTCAAAAAATTTCCTGATATTAATTTGACCTCGCGTGGTATTCGGTAAGAAAATTCCACGCCGAATTATGGTTGAAAATTAAATATTTTTAAAATTTATTTTTCGTTTCTCAACAATGCAAATTATTTTCTCCAAGTCACCAGTGAAACATAAAAGGTGTTGTCGCCTTGATTGTTGAGTTGTCATGGTAACTAAGTGAGACCCTAACCTCGAATATAATTTCAGTTTTGAAGTTGTCAAGCGGCCCGACGTAAAAAAATGTTTCGCTGCAATTATTTAGGCCTTCAAATTGCTTATTTCTACTCATTGTAGTTGCATGGGAATACCATTTGAAAATAGAAAATAGTATATTCTTTAATTTTACGTAAGTTTTGAATAACTACAAGTGGTAGAAAATTGTTTTTCTGCGTTTTTATTAACATGCGTTATGAGCGCTTTAAAATGGTATGAAATTCCTAACCAGCGTCAGCAAGCATCAATCGTAGGAGGCTGTGATCATTGTATTTTGACAGTTCAAAACATTAAATAACTCGCGTTTTGTTGCAATAAAGAATATTGCACAGCAAGTAAAACCAACAAAATTACCTATTTGTTTAAAAATGAATCGATTTGAAAATCATACGCTATGCAAAATATGCGTGAAATTGTCTGATGTAATGATCAATCATTGCACCATGACTTACTTACTCGGATTAATAGAGGATTGTGGCTCCAACTTGAAAAACGAAAATTTGTTCCGAATTGTCCACGAATATTTGCACCTAAACTACGCAAAATTCAAAGTGCTGAATGGGAAAAAGGTGAATAAATTAGTGTCTAAATATTATATATATTTTATTAGACATAGACACATAATTCAAAACATCCAAAGTCCTGCATTTTCGCCATTAAGAAGAAAAGAAGTGGCCGAAGAATATAGAAAACACCTTAGCATTGTAACTAAAATGTATCAAAACTAAACCTATTATGTGAACAAATAAAAACCAGTCTGTCAAAAATGGTCTGTTATTGTAAACGTCAAAAAATTTCCAGTATAATTCGCTGTTGGGTACCCCACGAGAAAAAAATTTCCACTAAAATACCTCCGTTGCCATGGTGATCTGTCAGAAACACGTATTTTGATTGGTTCAAAATTACAGGTGTGGAATTTTCAAGATAATTTCCGGATATTTTCTAGATATTTTCGAGATATTTTCGAGATATTTTCGAGATATTTTCGAGATATTTTCAAGATATTTTCGAGATATTTTCGAGATATATTCGAGATATATTCGAGATATATTCGAGATATTTTCGAGATATATTTTCGAGATATTTTCAGATATGCTGTAGATTATTACTGAGAGGGTTGATAATCTGGAAAATTAAGTCAGATTACTTTAGCAAAGGAAGGTTGCACCCTAGAATATTTATCAAATTTTCTTTTGAAATACAGGTTATCATATAATAAAAGATATATTTCAGCTTTTTATGTATTTTTTATAAATTTTGTTAATAATAAGATGCGAAAGATATTAGACTGCATACATAATGGGATTTGTTTTGTTCATTTCCATTTTATAATCATGATGTTGTACATAGCATTATTTAGCATTTCTGGTTGAATTGTAGCGATTTATTTCCCAATAGAATGATAATTCTTTTAGCGTTGTTGTGTTCTAAATAGTACATTTTTTAAATTTTTAAACTATACTGCCAGTAAATAGCGCCGGGCGATTATTAAAATAAATAGTCGATTCATTCTTTTTTTTTTTAAATCATATCGCCAATTATGGAATCCGTTAGAAGGAAATTATTGGAGAATAATTTCGTTTTACAAATGAGCTAAGAGACATAAAGAAAAAATAGTACACGAGTTTCGATATGTAAGACGATCTCCCTAACTGTTTTAATAGAAAGAGAAGAGATAGTTTCATGGCGACGAAAATATCTTCGTTCTATAAGGGAACACCGTTCGGCAAACAAGATGATTATTATCTGGATGAAACATGGGTAAATGCTGGTCATACAGTATCTATGATCTGGGAAGATACTACGGTAACGGTAACGGTAACGACTTTTAGGTCGCAGTGTATTAACACCCCATTCTCAACAACGGTTATCGAGAAGCATTTGTGGAAGGTCTGTCAACAGGATTACGAGGACCAACTGGAAAAGGACAACGACTAAGGCACACGAGCCCAATAAGGCCCACTGATGATATTAGCAACACTGTACAGTATGTAATGATCGTTGTAATTGAATAACCTTGAAAGGGCATGTCCAAGTATAGGCCAGGCCGCTTGCGCCGCGTCAACTGCTTTATTTCGCTAGTGTAGCAAGAAACGTGACGAGTGCAACATCGAACAATCTATTTTATTAAAAACTTTTTTTCTTTGGGTCGATATTTTCGAAACAGGTGAGTATTTTAAGTTAAAATTAACTGAAATCATTCGTTGAATATTCTTTTTGAACACAGTGAAGTTAGAATTACTAAACTTTGAAGAAAAACCAAGTTTTGGATATATTTATTTAAAACATGACTTCTTTTGATGCATACTAATAAGGCCCTTTATGGTGTATACTAATAAGGCCCGGGCCTTATTAGTATTAAACTGATATTTTTATTAAATTTCTTTTTTTATTTCAGCATGCCGCCTAAAAAAGAGCTATGTGGAGTCAGCAACAATTAATAATAATAATAATAATATTAATAATAACGGGTCTTTATTTGCACAAAATAATTACATTTTTGTACAGTTAGCATGGGCGAGGTTTAGCCTGTGGCTATTCTTACACCTAACCTTAACAAAACATATACATTTAAATAACTATAATATTAAAAGTTTATCAATACAATTTGACATTAGTAGCTCATTATATCTACCAGTTTACATTTGACTAATAAAGAGTTGCCTTTTTAAAGCATTTTTAAAAACAGGTAAAGATCGTGATTTTTTAATATCGGTATGTAAAGTGTTGTACAGAACAACTGCGTTATACGAAAAACTACGATTATAAATAGCACTAGAGTGACGAGGCATTGATAAATTAAAATTGTTTCTTATGTTTACATTGTGCGTAGACGATCTAAAAGTTATTTTGCTCATAAGATATAATGGTGACGCAGTAGAAAGTATTTTAAAAAGAAAAGAAAGGAACATAAATATATATAAATTATTAACAGTTAGCCAGCCAGTTTGGGAGAAGGCTTGGGAAATATGATCAAGTAAGTCCTTTTGCGAATCTGCAGCATGTATTCTGCATAATTTGCAAACGGTTACGATCAGCAGCTGTTAAACAAGGATAATACACAACAATTCCATATAATATTTTTGAAAATACAAGGCTTTGGCAAAGTTTTAGTTTTATAGATTGGTTCTGTAGGATGTGTTTATTAGAATAAAGCAAGCGAAGACTACTATAACACTTTTGTAACACATAGTTGACATGTTGACTGAACCTCATTTGATCGTCAAAGTATAACCCTAAATTTATAGACTCAGTTTCATGTGGAATAGATTCACCAGATATCATCAGAGTTGTATTGTCTAATATTTTTACTACAGAATAATAATAGTTTGTATTTCGAAGCATTAATGTGAAGGTTATGATCAGACGAATAGTTATCAATTTTTTTAAGATCTTGATTAATCTTATCAACTGCAGTAATGACTTCATTCGGCGAAAACTCGAGGAACAGCTGAGTGTCATCAGCAAAAAATTGGACTGCACAATTATTTACGTGTTTGTAGAAATTCGAAGTGTAGAGTAAGAAAAACAGGGGCCCTAGGACTGAACCTTGTGGTACACAAGATTTGATTTGAATGGATGTTGATTTCTGACCGTTTACTGTAACTAACTGTGATCGTTTACTTAAGTATGTTTTTTTTTTGTTTTTTTTTTTGTTTTTTTTTTTGTTTTTTTTTTTTTGTTTTTTTTTGTTTTTTTTTTGTTTTTGTTTTTTTTTTGTTTTTGTTTTTTTTTTTGTTTTTTTTTTGTTTTTTTTGTTTTTTTTTGTTTTTGTTTTTGTTTTTTTTTTTTTGTTTTTTTTTTTTTAATTAAAGGCAGCAATGGCTTCCGTCAGTAGCGGGGAGCTCAGTGTTCGATGTGCAAGTAGGCTTTACTCTATACCAAGGAGGACTTTAAGAAACCACATGATAACAGGTAGTACGGAGAAAAAAATTGGTAGAAGTACTTTTTTGAGTGAAGATCAGGAGAAAGATCTGACCATTCGAATTAAAAGATTAGCAGAGATTGGAATGCCGTTAACAGGAAAGGTTTTACGCAGAAGCGTTTTTACATTTTGTGAGAAAAATAAAATCGCTCATTCTTTTTTATAAGAAAAAAAAAATGGCTGGGCGCAAATGGATGACACTGTTTTTAAAAGAAAAGAAAGGCTCAACCGCTTAACGCTGGTAGAGCTGCAAAATTAAACAAATTTATCGTTAATGATCACTTTGCAAAATTGAGAGACCTGTACGTCGAGCTAGATTTGCACGATAAACCTCATTTAATTTATAACTTAGATGAAAAGGGATGTCAACTAAAGGGTACACAAAGCACTGAAAATACTAGCATAAAAAGGAGTAAGAAATGTTCATCTGATTGCCGAAGAACACGCAGAAAATGTTACAATCGTGGCATGTGGGAATGCACTGGGAAACGTAATACCTCCGATGATTTTGATGAAGGGAATCATGGAAAAACCAGAATGGAAAGATAACCTTCCACAATAATCCATTCTATGATGAC